TATCATAGGTTCCCCTACTAAACCCTAAACCCTAAACCCTAACCCCCCCACCTATACGACCTCCCTCTACTAGTAGGTTCACCCTTAAGACAGGTTCTTAGGGATCCCTAGAGGCTAAGCAGGGGAGAGCCTGTGGGGGGGGTGGAATAACATAGTGGGGGGTGGCAGGGGAACCTAGTACAATATGATCTATGGTCCAAACTCCTACTATGCTTCTTAATAGCTCCTATAATACCCCTCTATATAATCCCCTATAGTATAACCATCTTTAAGGGGTTTAGACTATGGCTCATATGATACTCTTCTGAATTCCGCAGCCCTTGCTGCCTTGCTCCCAAAGCCCCAAGCCCAGAGCCAAAAGGTCACGTCGGTGAAGATCGCCGATGGGCCGGGGCGCTTCCGTGTGTTGTACCGCACGCCGGGGCCCCTGCCAGTTTGGGCTTTCGGGGTTTAGGGGTTCTGGCTGTTACAGGATTCTTTAAGGGTAATAGGTGTTCGTAGGATTTAGGGTTCAGGGTTTCCGGGATTCACTGTCTAGGGGTCTCCGACTGTAAGTTTAGGGGCCTGAAAATGCGGGGTAATATCGCCAGGAAATCCTGGTATTCCTGTAGCGTTTGCTGCGGTCATCAACCTAAACCCTGAAGCCTTAATCCCTAAATCTCGAGCTCCACAAACAGAGTTGGAGCCCAGAAGCCTTTGACGTCAATGCATCGTCCTTCTTCATTGCCATGTGTCCGCTCATAGCCCCTGCGCCATCCGCACGTGCTCACTATGCAGACGTCCTTTTGTTCTCATACAACCTCTACTGCAGATGCTCTTCGTGCTTCGATGCAATCACCACAATCTCGCTACATTGTCTTATGCCGTCTAAATATAGGCCTTTGGTACCACGTCTTGTTATAACCATGTTCATTCTACACCTTCACCATCCTCGTCTTTCCCGGGAGGTCCTAATGTATATTCTACATTGTCCTTGTACATTCCCCAAGTTGCCTCGTCCTTCTAGATTTATCTGCTCCCTCTCAAGAAATGAATCCTAGCTCTAAGCCCTAAACCCCTAAACCCGTAAGCCCCCAACCACTTAATCCTAACTTCCTAACTCCTAACCCATGAACTCTACAAATTGAACCCGACGCACTCAACCCCTAAAGCCTTTGCCTCTAGACCCCTGGCCCATTTTACCGGATGCGAAGACATATTTCCCATACGGTTGATCTTGTTGTTCTGCTTGACTGCAAATGCTCTATATATCTTTATAGCCTTGAAATCATATAGAAATCCTTATATAATCCTACATCCCCTAAACCTTAAATGCGAATTCTAAGTCCTATGCCCATCTACCCCCCTGAAATGGACACTAAACCCTACATATCCCTAAAACCCTAACAGCCTAAAACCCTAAAACCCTAAACCCTAAACCCCTAAAGCCTAAAACCCTAAACCTGAAGCCCTGTAAAGGGCCAAACCAAGGCCTAGTGGTGAAGAGGAGATGGGAGCGGAGGTCATGCGAAGCAGACATTTAGGGTTTAGGGTTTCGAGCTTCGGTCCTTTCAAGGCGTTCTAGGGATATACATAGATGTTACCCCAAACCCTTAACCCTAAAGGGTTTAGGGGCTCTACAGTTCTGAGCTTGTGGGGTCCCGGGGTTTTGGGGGTTTGCAGCTTGGAGTGCAGATTTTTTGGGTTGAGGGGCTTAGTGGTGAGGAGTTCAGGGCTGAGAGTTCCGGGTCAGAGGGTAAGGTTTACGGTAGGGGGACTGTTTCTTGTAGGGGTTCGGCTTCAGGGCGTGGATTTTGGATTTAGTGTCTAGGTGCGTAGTTGGTACACGCTGTGTATTTCGCAGTTTGCCGGAAAGCGCTTTTGTGCCCTAAGGCACACTTCAGAAGGTAGGAAGTGGGGTTCAGGGCTGCTTTTATTACCAATTTTACCAGAGCATCCATGTCCAAAGCATAATAGCATCCATGGTCTCAGAGCCTTCGATCACCAGCGCATCCATGCCCTTTATGCCAAAGCTCAACTCCAGTCATCAGGCTTCCCTAAACCCTAAACCCTAAGCCCAAAGCCCTAAACCCTAAGCCCTAAACCCTAAGCCCTAAACCCTAAACTCTAAGCCCCAAACCTTATGAGACAGCTCCATACTTCTGACATCCCCAAAATCCCAAGCCCTTAACCTTAGGCCCTGAAGTTTCGACCCCAAACCCCAAAATCCCGAACCCTGAGCCCTAAGCCCGGAGCCCTAACCATAAGACCTAAACCCTCTACTTTGGGTACTGCCCCCACCCAGTAACAGTCTATATTAGGGGTCCGATTAAGGGCTATATATAACTATATGATACTCATTATCCAATTGTTACTGAGGAGGCAGTACCCAACCTCTACTCTAAATCTCTGGCCAGCCCCAATCCCACAGGCCGTCCTTGTAGCCTCCGGCGGCTTGTCTTTTGCGCGAACATGCTTGGCCCCTGGGTACTTCCAAGGGTGGCCATGCTTTTAGATGTCCCTTCAGGCGAGAACATAGGAATGTATGGGTTAAGGGTTCGGGGTCTAGGGTTTAGGTTTAGGGCTGGGGATTTAGGGTTGATGAGTCCCTTGAAGGGGGATATAGGGTTGTATGGGGTGTTGAGGAGTGTATCTAGGGCCCTTCAGGAAAATCGATGAGAGCACATATGACCAGGCGCATATATAGATACAAGTAGATGAGTTACCCCAAACCCTAAACCCTAAGCCCTATATGCTATATTGGCGGGCGTTCTCAAGGCCAAGGAATGGCCATTGGGAAAACACTTGCTTTGAGGGAGATCCCACCCAAAATGAGAGCTCACCACCTACCCTACGCCCATTTTGGGTTTGGGGTTTAGGGTTTAGGGTTTAGGGACAGGCATGTTGAAGGAATACCATTGATGCATGTGTATAAGCTTTTTTTCATACCATATATACATATATCTATATATACACACACACACACACTTTTATTTGTATGTTGAAGAATATATACGTACGTATAACTATACATATACATTCATACATGTGTACATATTCTTTCCTAGACCCTGAACCCTACATCTTCAACAGGCTGGCGTCATGGTCGACAGCGAAATGATATGAGCAGCCAGAGATAGAATTCTCCAGACATGAACAAAGCCCTAGTTAAACGATAGGCCCTCCCCAAAAACCCTAACCGGCAAAATGGACGACTTATAGGGATCCCATCCAAGAGCAAAGATGCGTGGCATCCTGGCGAGGGATCTGGCGAAAGAGTGTAAGACTTTCGGTATGAACGCCGCAGTGCGCCAAAACCCTTTGGCACGACAGGCCTCTCCAAAAAGTCATACCCTTGAGTTTTCACATAGCTGTTTATAAGCATTTTCCGCAGCTGCTCATTTAGGGCCTCTATTCCCCCATCCAGAGTTTAGGGTGCAGGGTTCATGGTTTAGGGTGCAGAGGTAGGTTTAAAATTACTGCGTAATTTTTGTGACCCCTAATGGTCATTCCCTCAGAAGGACTACCATACCCTAAGCCCACATGTACTATAGTCTAAACTTTATATGGGGTTATACAAGGGAGTATGATAGGGGTCAGTACGGGGGATACTAGGAGTTAAGACTATAGGTCACATGGAACCTCTTGTGAACGCACGATTGTCTAGGCGGGTGGGAGCGGTTCATTCTAAGGGGAACCGATTGGTCCTCATTTCAGAGTTCTATGCCAGTTGGGGGAGAATGGTCTGAATGGATGTTTTCATGGGACTACCGTGGGCCCCGCCAATATACACCCCACCAAACTCATTTAATAAATCCTAATAGGCACCAATAGCCATTAAAAAAAGTCCTTCACCAATAGCCATTAAAAAGGTCCTTCACTTGTGGGGGCCTGGATACTGGGGGGGTCATAGTAGCTCCATGATGTTTCCTAAGGCGGAAGCCCCAAGCCCACGAAACCTACTAACATGGAGCACGAACTAGGCCTCAGGACCCAAAATGGAACAGCCTCGAGAACTAGGACCCCATAACTATCAAGGTCCTTACAGCGAGTTCCCCTGTTACACGTGTTGAGCCTCAGGCCCCAACATGGAACAGGTTCACAGCGCGTTGTTCAATTCGAGGGGTGAATGTGGGCAGTGCTCACGCCAATCTAGAAAAATATGCGGACTCCTGCTCTTGGGGTCTTCAAGGTTAGAAACCTAAGCATACGGTGCGCATCCCAGACCGCTTAAACCCTAAACGCTCAACAGTAAGCCCTGAACCCTAAACCGAAACCCCGAACCATCACCCCAAACTGTAAACCCTAAACCCTCAGAGTCCCGAAGGGTTTGATTTTCGTTTGTAGTTGCAGATGGGCTTGCGGGTATTTTGTATGCTGTTAGTATTGTTATTATGTTTCTTACTGTTGCTGCTGCTGCTGCTGCTGCTGCTGCTGTCACAACCACCACCACCGCCGCCACCACCGACGCCGCCGCCGCCGCC